AGAGCCGCCGCCCGCGCCTGCTCTGGGCGCCCAAGGAGTACACGCTGGTGCGCGACTAGGCGCCGGGGCCAGGCCTCGCGCGCCCCCGCGGACACCTGCACCCCGGGACGATGCGCAGTGAGCGGAACCGCAAGGAGAGACCCTGAAGCCATCGGGTCCCTTCTGGAAGCAGCATGGCGCTCTGGAGGACAGGGAGAGGTGGGGTGAAAGCAGCCCTGCCACCTCCTGCAGGTGCCCAGACAGGAGGTGGGGGCGCCCTGCCTTCGGGAGTGTTTTGCCCCCGCCTGCGCGCGGACGGTGTTGTGGTTGGACCTGCGCACGTGGTCCTTCAGCGAAGGCCATCAGGACGCTGAAGAGAATGATCACAGGTCCTGGCAGCCACACCGCACACCTGGAGCCACACAGCAAGGTCTCAGGTAGAGAGAGGCAGGCCCGGGGTCCTAGGGTTTCGTGGACTCACTCTGTTGGTGAATTCAACCTACAAGAGCAGGGATGCAAAGCTCTGGAAGAGAAAAAGCGAGGGGCCCCAGGGATGAGTTGTTGAAATCAACCAAGATCTCTCAGCACAGGAGCCTCCGTGGGGGATGCAGCCGTTCTCTGGCCCTGTGGCTGGCCCTGTGGCTGGCCCTGGGGTATTGGAGACGGCTGCTCTCTTGGACGTGCCTACCTTGGCAATCAACGCTTAAAGTGGGCACTTGCATTGCAAAAGGCAGAAGAAAAAAAAAACTCAGGAAGGGAGCTTCTCACTTGCAAGCCTCCTTTCCCTCGCTTTCTGCGGGGAACTGAGGCAGAGACCTTTCACCTCTGACCTTACTGAATTTAGTCTATGCCACCTGAAGGGATGTTTTAGCCCCTCCCCACCCCTCCCTCCACCCCCGTTTTTTTAAAATGAGGAGACTGGATGCCAGTGGCATCCAGCTCCTTGGCTTTGACCTTTCATCTCCCTGGCCCTCAAGCATAGTTTGTACATATTTAAGTAATACTATTGTAGATGAAAAGGGGGCTGTGGCATAACCTAACAAGTTCAGGGGGCCACAGGCAGGCCTGATAAGCTCAGCGGCCACACAGGACGGTCTGATCCTAAATCCCTCACTGGGCAGGCCATGGTAGGTAGTCCCTTCCCAGGACTACAGCGTCCTAGCAAAGGCCAGCCTTTACCTCACGTGAGTTCTGTCCACTGTTCTTACGCATTGAGGGTAACAGACCTTGGAAATGGCACAGTAATCACCTTTCTAGACCCTCGAGGACACAACACAGGCACCAGAGCGCAAGATCCGCAGAACCCCTCCTGGGTACCTGGTCCCCCGATACCATCTCCATGTGCTGTGTTAATGACTGGTTGTCCGGTCCTGCAATATAAACCATGTTTCTCTGTTTTGCTTTTTATCCAGTCCTAGAGATTTGCCCGCTTTGCTTTCTCCCACCTCCCTAAATCTGTCACCAATGATTTGATGTATCCTCCTTGTTGTTTTTTTTCTCCTTTAATTCTAAATGCATCCAAGGAACTGCAAAACTGCCTTTTTCCAGAGCATTTTCTCAGTCTTTGAGATTTTGTTTCTAGGCAAACTTTGGTTCAAACTCTTTCTTAGCATTTTTTATAGGAATTCATTTTTTTTCCTAATTTTTATTTTTTATTTTTTCATTTTTTTTTATTTCAGAGAGGAAAAGAGATGAAACATCAATGAGAATCATTGATCGGCTGCCACCTGCAGGCCCCACTCAGGGGATCAAGCCTGTAACCTGGGCATGTGCCCCAATTGGGAATCGAACCGTGGCCTCCTGGTTCATAGGCTGACGCTCAACCACTGCCACAATGGCCGGGCCATTTATTTATTTATTTACTTGTTTATTTATTTATTTTTTTAATCCTCACCCGAGGATATTTTTCCATTGATTTTTAGAGAGAGTGGAAGGGATGGGGAGAGAGAGAGAGAGAGAAACATCGATATGAGAGAAACACATCGACTGGTTGCCTCCCGAATGCACCGGGACAGGGAATCGAGCCTGCAACCGAGGTACCTGCCCTTGACCGGAATCAAACCCGGGACCCTTCAGTCCATGGGCAGATGCTCTATCCACTGAGCCAAATGGGCTAGGGCAACTCTTTTTTTTAAATGTGTTTATTGGGATGGTGTTTAAGAGAGGGCAACTCTTTTTTTTTAATGTGTTTATTGGGATGGTGTTTAAGAAGTTTATTGATTTTTAGAGAGGGAGGAAGGGGGAGAGAGAGAAACATTGATGGCACAATATTGATCAGCTGCCTGCCTCCTGCACACCCTCTACCAGGGAAGGAGCCTGCAACTTGGGCATGTGCCCTGACAAGGAATCAAAGCAGCAACATCCTGGTGCACAGCAACCTCCTGGGAGAATGCCCACCCAACAGCCAGACTGGCCAGGGCTCAAATAAGCTTTTATAATACTTTTCTGTATGTTGGGAGTTCCCTTGTTGGTATCATAATAAAATGAGTTATTCCAAAAGTGTCTTTATGGCATTTTTCCTGGAAGTCAATGTTTACAAAAATGACATTTCCTTGTTCTGGGGCTCATAGGTCTGTTTGGTCACAGTGTCTAGGAGAGATGTTTCCTCATCCATGGCTGCTGTCCAGACTGCATCCTCAGCCAGGGAAAACGCAGGCTCCGGATAGGAGCATGAAGTCATCGGGTCCTCCAGGAAAGGTGGTCCCAGGGCCAAGGCAACAGGAAAGGTAACCACTGGAAGCCCCTGAGCTTTTGTCTGACAGTTGGGAGCACTGAGGCCTGAGAGGGTGGGATTTCCCTCCAGGCCTCCTGAATCCTTTAGGTAGTGTTCGCATAGACTTGCAGTTTTAACAGCCTCCACTGCTCCAAGGCAGGATAGCAATGCCGGCTGTAAGCCAATCCTGATGGTGTTTATAACCTAGTAATTTGTATAAGCAAGTTCCAGTTATTGATGATGTGGAATAAAAGATGCCTCCCCGCTCAAAAGCAGCTCAAACTTCCCTGGTGCCTCTTACCTAAAGAAGGTAAAGCGAAATCCAGAAGGCCTTTTGGCCACTGGATTAGAAATGAGAACAGGCCAGGTGAACTGGAGAACAGGTTAGACTGTGATCTGGAACCTCCCTTCCTCTGGGACCACGATCCCCATCTTACCCTAGAACATGCACCAAGGGTCACACACAGGACCCTGGGGCACTAGAGACCTCAGCGTGAGCAGTTAAGACCTGGATGGGAATCGGAGGTTCATGCTCGTGTGTGTGACTGTGGACAAGTTCCTTACCTTTGCTCCGTCTCAGTTTTCTCACGTGTAAAGTGGGGTTCCAGTCGCCCTCTCTGCAGGGGTTGTGATGCTCCAGGAAACAGAACTTGCCGTCTCCCTCTCCTTGCCTGCCCCCTCCCCTTGCCTGCCCCCTCTCCAACAAGTTCATAGTGCAACAAATTCAGCAAACAGTCCTTCTCTCTTTAAAAGAGAAAGCGATGGCACACTCAAGGGTTTCTAGGTGCTGGGCTCGGGCAGCCTCATGCTGTGGGTGAAGCCAGTGGTGTGCTGGTGAATGTGCGGCAACCGGCTCTTGGAGGAAAAAGAAAGCCCAGTCTGTCGGGATTTGCACCACCAAGGATAGCCTGCCAGGGCTGAGTTCCAAGCTCCCACTGAATGCGGAGTGGAAAAGAGGTGTGCGCACCCTGCTCCCATGAGCCTGGGCAGCAGGTCCTCGAGAAACATCGATCAGCTGCCTCCTGCACACTCCCTACTGGGTATGTGCCTGCAACCAAGTTTCGTTCAACATCTTTTCCTTACAGCGTTGATGAGACACAGTAGGAACTTAACTATTGCTTATATCAGTCTGTGGTAAAATTGGTCTCGATATACGTCGTTTCCCTTAAAGCCAAAGAACCTATCATGACATGAAGGGAGGACTTGGCTGTACACACCACTGGCACAGGAATCAAGTCACTGAGGCAGGTGGCCACCCCTGGCCAATCAGCTGGAGCTGGGATGGGGTCATGTGACCAAATATGGCCAGAGCCCATCCTTTCACTGCATAGCAGGCTGTGGGGGGGCAATTTCAGAGAAAAAGATGAGTCCTGTGAGACTACTTAAAACGTGTTTTGGCTACTCGTCCGTTTCCCCTTCTGATGATAACACAGTCTGGCTTCCTCCGGGGGAGGTGCTGCAGGTGCTGGGGCTCAGAGCAGGGGCTCTTGGCCTGAGCCCACCACGTATAAACGTTTCGGTCATGTGACTGGTTCAGGGACCGCACTTCACCCAGTTCAAACCAGGAAGACCCACTCAGACTTTTGCTGGGACTTCTGGGAGAGACAGGCTTGACTGCTGGGAACCTGAGGGCTGTGCGTTTGGAGCTGTGGACTCCACAGGAATCCAAGGGTGAAGCTGTCTGGGAACAAAGCCAAGTGCAGAGACACTTCACCGAGCCCTGAAGCTGACCTGGCCCTGCCGTGTCCATGTTATGTAAGCCAGTAAATCCTCATTTCCATTGGGCGTTCTTCACCCCGCAGCCATGTCTCACGTTCACAAGGCCATGAAGGCTCAGAGGAGTGAGCTCCATGGTGACTCATGTCCAAGTCACTTCTGTCTCCCCCATAATGCCTAGCACAGGGCCTACCTTGATAAACTTTGGAGGAATTAATTCCTGCATTTCCCTCCTGGGCACTCAGAACACTGACCTCCATGGGGCAAACTTATGTGAAGGGGACTTCTTTTTTTTTTTTTAAATATATATATTTTTTTACAGAGAGGAAGGGAGGGGAATAGAGAGTTAGAAACATCGATGAGAGAGAAACATCGATCAGCTGCCTCCTGCACACTCCCTACTGGGTATGTGCCCGCAACCAAGGTACATGCCCTTGACCGGAATCGAACTTGAGACCTTTCAGTCCGCAAACCAACGCTCTATCCACTGAGCTAAACCAGTCAGGGCTGAAGGGGACTTCTCGATCCCCTCAGTCACTGGAATAGCTCCCACAAATCTGGGCACTCATGATGGTCCCCCAAAGAGGGTTGGGAGAAGCTGCAGTGAACCTCACCAGTGGACTCCATGTGTCTAAAAGGCTTCAGAACTAGACAAACTGGGGCTGAACTTACCTCCCTCTATTGCAGCATGATCCTCCGCAATATACCTCTCT